CTTCCTTATCGGAAACAAGATAATAAAAAGAAAATATTGTGAGCAGACACTTTTGTGTGTAGGTACTTCAAGGGACTGTTTTAAAAGATCCAATAATAACATGCAGATACGGGGACGGGTCTGAATTTATGATCACCTAATCAACGTTCTAGAAGTCCTGCAAAACAGTCGGTAGAACTGCATTCATGGAGAAAATCTAAAATATAAGAATGCAAATATCCAGATGTTTCCAGATCAACTCTGTCTAAAATAGGGGTGAGGATTGACGACGATATGCAATACAAGGCAATAACAATTATACCACGATTCAGCGATTCTTCAATAATTAATATATTGTAAGACAATGATAATGTGATACCACATGAGATATGATGAAGTGAAGAATGAAAAATGACCCGACAAAGGTAACAAGCAGGATTAATGAATTTATTCACTGCAATTCAGTGTCAGTTTCACCTGTTATCGTTCCCCCTTTAGTGTCTTTTCACTGCTGTCTGACTTTCATCCGCTCTCTCATCTTTTATCCTGATGTCACCTTTTTCCAAGGCCATCTAACTTCTGTCTATGTTACACTAATTCATGTCAAAAGCGCCTCCATGACGAGTCATAAGGTGGTTATATCACGATGAGTCTAATTGGCAGGTAACTCTGTTTAGAGCGCCATATATTTTTTTTAATTCAAATATGGATATTTGGTGCCAGCGGTTTGATTCTGGGTCACATGAGTCAGGGCCACTTAAAGCAGTACTGATATTTGATCCTACCCCTGGTCTGCTCCTGGGTCCATCCAAAAGGGAGGAACATAGAGTTTGAAGTACAAACCACTGTGAAATTAAAAACTGTGTTCAGTCCTTTAATCAGAATGAAGAAAAACACTTGATTCGTTTTCAAGAGTTTAAAGCCACACCTGCCTTCTCTTTTTCTCTCACTGTATGTCTTTAAGTTTATTATATTGAGCCCCTTACTAAAGTATTATTGTCATTCTTTGTCAGAACAAACTCTAAGCCGGAGGAAACTCATTTATTGCTGGCCAGAGAGAGTATATCTTATAGCACAGCTGGAGCTTTTCCTTCCTCTTCTGACCCTGGTGTCCGTTGCAGAGGAGAGCTGTGCATCAGTCTTATCTGTTACTCATTAACTGACAAAAAAAAAAAAAAAGTCCACACAGCAGTCAGCACACATAACATCACCTGGCAAAAAAGTACAGACAGCCACAAGCTGCTACGGACCAGGAAGTCGGCTCCAATAATGTACAGTAAACACAGAGCCGGACCCAAAGGTGCCATGTCTGTTTCTGTCATACTGCACACAGAGAGAGCAGATAGCCATGTGGGTATACCCGAGAAAACCCCCTTAACATTTTCCTAATTAAAATGTAAAATAAGTTATGTGGAAAAAATAATGAAAGCATAGGTGTGTCAGTGGAAAGAAAATAAAGCCTGCATGAAGGGAGTCATATGTTGTTGTGTGTATGCAAAGTGTGATTTTCTTTCTCAGCACGCTCACAGGGACATATGAATAACATGTTCTAGTGTCTGTCAGACTTATTATCGAACAACTATAACAGCTACACAGTGTGATATACAAACCTGCAACGAGGTTAGCTATCCACTCAGTCAAAACTTCATGAGACACAACATGGATGGGCTGATTAAAGGGATAGTTCTGTGTTTTTGAAGTGGGTTATGAAGTAAAACTGTTGGGCTTAAATTATGGAACGATGAGAACTTCCATTTTTAAAACCTGTAATTCACTTTTGGTTTTCAAATAATGCGTCGTAAAGCTATTTGTGAGGCTTAACGATGTGAATAATTTATCATTAACAGGAAGCTTAATTTGATAGGACGGGCTTTTATAAGCAGTTTGTTTCTGCCTATGTCTGTTCAGTCACTACTTAATACATGACTGTTTGAGCTGTCTATTGTTTAAAATGATTGTATTATGTATGATAGCTGTATGAAAAATATGAAATAGAAAACAACTCAGTTACTGGTCTGCACAGCAACTAGGATAAGTCTCTATCAACAGGGTTATTTGTGTAGTTTAGCTCATTTAAAGAAAAACCAACAGGAAAACAAACAAGCCGAGGTAAATTTATGCTAAGGAGAGGATATTCTTAGGGGTCAACAATACAGTTTGATTGTTTTCATAATTTAACTTTGTTTTTGTTTCCTTTTCCCTTTGTATGTTTTTTAAGCCATTTTTTGCCTTCGAGAGATAAGAAAGCTGAAGAGAGGTCAGGAAATGTTGTGAAGAGAGAGCTGGGGGACGACATGCAGCAAAGGGCCGAGGTCGGATTAGAAATGAGGTTGCTGAAATGAGGACTGTAGAGTCAGCACATGGACCACGGGACATAACCACCAGGTAATTCATGTTTTTATGTTTTATTTTTTCTGACTAGCTGTTCTCTCACACTTCTTAATGTTGTTATTTATGCATTAATTTTTCTGTGTATGATGATGTTCCCATTAGCCTCATGTTTATTTTGCTAATTGATCAAAAGTTCTAATTGATGTGAGCTGCTTTTCATTATGAGCAAATTAAGTGTTTGCATAATGAACAAGTTGGTTATGCAGAGAGTATAACAGGAATGGATATCGTAATAATGGGGATGGAAAAGTGGAGGATTGGGTGATTATTGGGCTTTAAATAATTTCATATTTATATATAGTTGTGTGTGGATTCATTTCTCTTTAAGTCATAACCGTCATTAAACTGGCTGAATCAATGAACATGATTCTTAACTCTGAAAAAACAACTTTACAAACTATCCTATTTCAATTCATTATTAATGTTTAATTTAAATGTCAGTAAATTGTACAAGTGTAACACAAACTTACAGTTATTTGCAATATTTACAATACCAGAATTTTAAACTGTGATGATACCTATAGTAAAAAATGAACCATAGCCACCTGCTTGGATTCTACAGGAACGGAAAGAGAAGTCCTAGTCATCAAAACCAGTCCTCTAGTATTCCAAGTTATCAGGTGCACAACTGAATGTGTGTGGAACTTCAACCGATCTTATGAAGGCACTAAATGTATCCTCATAGATTTGAGAGTTTAAACCGCTCTACACATGTTTGTAGTCGTCAGGCCTGGTTCATATGTCTGTCATTTTTTAACTGTTTAATTTTGACTCTTTTGTCAACGGAACAAAAGAGTTGTTGGGTCACAGCCACTCAGTCAAATACAAAGGACATAGCTGGCTTTATAAACATGTGCTCGTTATTGTTCACACGAGAGCACACGCTAGCATCAAACTGGCAAAAAAAACACCTTTTTTCATTTTGGTCAATCATTCACTGATATGATCCTATGAAATGATATCAGTGTCATTCCTGCAAATACAAATGTAGACATTTCTCACCACTTGCTGCACTCTTGTCACATCCAAACATAAGCCCATAATTCACACATGGACAAACATTTTCAGGCTGAGCTGCATGTGTGAACACATCACTCCCACTTTTTCTGGATTTTTTTCATCCAGCTCTTATAGTAAAAATTCTGCAGGATGTCAGAGTGAGCACATAAAGCAGGAAATATTCAGGAACATTCACCATGAGCGAGGTGAAGGGGGTGATGTCATCCATCCTGGGACTGGTTCCATCTTTGTGCACTTAATGAAGCTGCTCTATTCTCTTTTCTTCTTGGATGTATGTTCTTTAACAGTCCCTTGTTTATACAACGCATAAATCATATTACACGCAGCATTGATAAAAAGGCACATAACCGCGTCCGTTTCACGTCATGTCCTGCCTCCCGAGAACCCTGTTTTCCATCTGACTGGAAGATATCTTCTGCCATGAGGGACCTGGTTAAAAGAGCGGCTAATGAAGATTTAAGGAGCAGACTGCCCTGAAATATTCTAGACATTTTGAAACATGCATGTGTGGAAAAATGCTCTTTTTTTTCAATAACTGACTGACATGAAAGTTTTGGGTCTTAGGCTGAAATATACTTCCAATTGAAATTCATCTTTTTTTTAATTATGATAACTGACATAAAAAAGTGTGAACTTTGTGTCCTTTTCAGAAATCTAACCAGTTTTTAGACTCAGGAACTGCTGAGAGTCGTGCTAGGTTAGTCTGAAGATCACACTGAACTGCATGCAAATCAAAATAAGTATAAACTGTCTCTCTATAATGTTTAGCGAGTTAATCGTCCTTGGGTCACTGTCTTTATGAAACCATGTGTGCAACCAGGTCCAGTCTTTATCATGTCGGCGTCATACAGAATAGGACGCTCATGTAAATTTCGGTCGGCACTATTTACTCCAGGAGTCAGAGTCAGGAGAAAACTGTGTCATCTTCAGCCAGGAAACAATTAAAGAGTCAGACAGGAGCTTCTTTCTAACGCCAGACAGATAATACATTGTTTAGCAAAAGCATGCCTCCAGCCTTTGTTCCCTCTCCTTTAAACACATTGAGATGATTCATTTGTTTTTAGTTTTGCTCAAAGCCTCTCATACAAATGTTCAGCACATCATACACTTGCAGAAAGATGCAGAAAAAGCCTTGTATTTTTTTTTTCTAAAATAACAGTTTCAGTTCAGGAGGCATGAAAGCCTGTTGTGAGCCGTCCAGACCTGAGATGACAGAGCTCAAACTGAAAACAAAGGATGATGCTTTTGTTGACTTCAATGCTGCTCGGTTGAGCTTTTTATTTACCCCAGAGATGCCAAAGCTCTAAGCGGAACAAAAACATAGACTATCCCACAAACCAGCAGCAGGAAAAGTCCTGCAGCTACAAATCAAAATGTGGAAACAAGATATCCTTTCAAAATGTGGCTAATGTGTGAGTGTGGGGGCTCAGGGAGGATGACACACTCTCCTCCCAGTCTCTCTCATCCATGATCCCGATGCTTCCAACCCCTAATCTCGACTGCAGATGCAAATAGTCTAAAAAACGTCCCTACCAAACATTTGCATTTAAACAAATGGATAAAGGTCATTTTGAAAAGCTGCCTCCTCATGAGTGCAGTGTGAGGTGGCATGTTCCATGTGTCCCTGCCCTCCTGTCAGCATAGTTAAAGCCCCTGCCGTGGCACGCCACACACAGTATGGTGCTGCTCACTGGGATTTAGCTACTGTAGGCAAATACAGCAGAGGGAGAACACAGAGGCCTGTGTGTGTGTATATGTGTGTGTGTGTTTGTGTGTGTGTGTGTGTGTCGGACTGCTCCACAGCATCATGGACACAGGTGAGACACTCATTCTTATACATGCTGCCAGCTGCTCCTGCTGTCATTCTTAGTCTATACAAATAATGTATTAAGCTGCAGGAATTGATTTTTTACAACCTTTTTAAACAAATGATTCTCTTTATTGAAGTGCAGGGAAGACTTCTATTAGTTTCTTTAAAGTGTGACATATGAATTTCTATACCACCTCATGGTTTTCATGTTATATGATGTTCACTTTATGAGATTGGTGTAGTTACTTAATAATGCAACAATTTACTGTTATTTAATCATTTATAGCATCTTTTAAAATCTGATTTTAAAAAGTGTATTTTGGCTTTTTTAATGATTCACATGGTTATTAAATTTGGTATTGTGTCACCTCTGATATTGATTTTATATAGAATAATATCAATTACTTTGTAGAAATTATATTTGAAAAGAAAAAATCCTGCACACTTGACAAAAGTTAAGAAGGACCGAAACGTAATTTCTTCTAATTAATTGGTGATACTCAGCAAGAGTAGTGTGTGGGATTTTTTCTTTTCAAGCAATAGTTTGTCACCCTATGCACCTACTTTATGAGATCGTTGGATGTGCGAACACCTCCTTAAATAACAGAAATTATATCAGAAATGTTTCTGCAAGAACTAATGAACATGTCACCAAAAGTTTTCTCCATGTTGTTCACACACGTTACTTTCATAATTGAATGATTCTGTAATGAAGAGCACGTTGCAAGATATCACTAACAAGATTCACATTGTGAAAAATATTTAAATATGGAGCGATGCCTTAGCGTGAGTTTGCTGAAACATTTGATACTTCATCTTTTGACAGTACATGTTTTAAAATGATACAATCTTCATTATTTTGATGATCGATAGCTTCGCAAATTACCTAGGTCAACCAGAAGCTGCAGTAAGGTACAGGAGAGAGAGAGAGAGAGAGAGAGAGAGAGAGAGAGAGAGAGAGAGAGAGAGACTGTCTAAAGTATAAAATAAGTTTGCAATGTTTGTTTACCAAAACATATTTGTGCTAGTTCTACATTGTGCAGGAGTTTGTCTGCATTTTTTGGTAGTTAAAAACAAGCAATTACCCAATACTTGATGCTTAGGACTTTTATTTGTGTTGCCATGGTAACGAAATAGGTATCAATATTGTTTGCTATATTACTAGAGTCGTATAGAAGATAAATAGAAGATTTAGAATGGTGACAACCCATCTCTACTGGTGTTTATTTTTGAGGCAACAAATCGAGATTTTGACATAAACAAATTAAATGTCATGTTTTCACAAATCTCATTGGCTTAGCAGGGTTCTTATCTAAAATATGCATTCAAAAACCTGGGACCTCTTGCAATGAGTTCTTTTTGCATGCAATATCCGTTTGCATAATAATGTTTGCATTTTCATCGAGTTTATGCGTCTGCTTCCCAGGAATGTCCTCAAATCACAACCACCACACGTTTAAGATTTGTTAAGATTAAAGTCCTATTAGTGTAATGTTATTACATGTTATAATGTTATTTCATGGATCTTGTGAATATTTTTTTGTAAGCATGTTTTGAAAGTGAGTGCTTGGACTATATTGGACTCTTTTTTAGCAGTCCATTTGCATCGACCAAACCAAAGGCAATTTCCATGACATTTACACACCAATCCCAAAGAACCATTCGCCTATATGAATAAAACTGTCACAGATTCAAATCAACACACATTTGTGGGGATGGATGAAAATTTGTATGGAGTCATACAGTTTCTGGATTTGTATCAAATGTAGATTCTTAAACTGTCTTTCTGCTCCGTCTAGAATATTCTAAGAGGGTGTACCAAGGCGTTCGAGTCAAGCACACAGTCAAAGACCTGCTGGCAGAGAAGCGATCCCGACAGACAAGTGGGCCCAGATACAGTGTAAGCACAACCCTCCTCTAAACCGCTCGGCTTTTGTCCCTCCTGTCTCTCCCCACTTCATTTTTCTCCCAAACCAAACAGTGCAGCCACAGTTGACATTCTGTTGGTGGCACAATTAAGAGGTTGCCTTTTTTTAAAATCTCCTCTCCTTGTTTACATTTGGCTTGTTTTTGTGGACCAACGATCCATGGTTGATCCATTGACCACCTGTACCCCCCCCCCTCGTCTCCTGCTCCCCCTCGGGCGCTCGCAAAGCCATTCTGTAAATATCTGTGTGTGGAGAGGGGCACAAAGAGTCCCATCCCCGACCTCACAAAAGAATACTGACACAATGCTCAGAGGTAGCGGCCATGATCTCCAAAAAAAAAAAAAAAAACTCCCCTGGAGGTGGAGGCAGGGGGGCGGGGTGGGAAGCCCGAGGTGGACAGGTAACACAGAGAGGCAGAAAAAGGGGCCAGTGAAGGAGGCTGCCTATGCAAAGTTTGATCCCCGCACACCTGCCAGCCGACATTGTCCTTATGCCATGTACAGGCCACAGACAAGCCTCCTATTGTTGTCGCAGGAACACACGCCAGCACACACTCTCACACACAGTCACATTGATTCTGCTCTTAGACGTCTGCATGCACGAGCAAGACTGGCTTTTCACTTTCCACAAACCGTCTGTCAAAAGGCTTTTCCAGGACAGCATTCACTGTTTGCTTTCTGTTTAGCATCGGCATGTCCACTCCATGGATATGCAGCCTGCTAATGTCTCGCATAATAGGGGGATTGGGTAGGAGACAAAAGAGAAAGATACAACGCAGAAAAAGAGACAGGGCAAACAATGGACCAACTCCAGTGCAACAGCTTCAACCTCATTGTAAAGTTTGACTTGTCCTTTAAAGCTCCATTCAGGCGAGTGACTCCAAGCTACAGTGTGTTGCTGACAAGGTTCAAACTGTATTTAAGTTGTGCATCATTTCTTTTAAGCATCAACATTTCCCCTCTATAGATATTAAGGTTGTCAAAATGTCAAATTTTTTGTTGTGTGCTGTTTTAAGTTGAAATGATCTCCATTATTCTACTGATCGATAAGATTTAAAAGTCCTAAAGCTTTTATAACACTCCTTTTTCAGAAGCCATCTAAAGTTGCAACTAAGCTCTTGCCCTCTGTCTTAATTGCACAAATACATCTGCAGTGTGTTTGTGTCATTTAGATAGCCTGCTATTTTGAGAATTGAAAACAAGAAATGACGCAGTATTCGGTGCCCAGGAATTCTATTGTTGTGGTTGTGTGTAAAACAGGTTATCGATATCATTTGATTAAGAATCATATCATAGTCTACAATTCTGGTTTCATGACAAACCTAATGGCAATGCAGGTTACTAATGACTAACACAATAAGGGGATTTTGAGAAAGACAAAAATGACAAATAAGGAGACACATCCAAAAATGTCCTTCAACAGAAAAACATTTGATCAGCTTATATGTCTATGCAGAGTTTTGTAACTTAATTGCATGTAGCAGAGGTCGAAGCCGCCGGGCTGTGGGACACTGGGGGAGTTGTGAGTGGGAGGACAGCAGCAATTCATGGCTGTGCAGGTGACAGTTTGGAGTTTCGTCTAAACATAAATTCAGCGGAGGCAGAGCTGTTCTGAAAGATAAAGTACACATGTCGTTGAGTTTATCTTCAGTTGGCCAGAGACAAACAAATAGTTTCAGGGTGCAGGTGGTTATTCGAGGACTAAGAGCTAGCAGGTCAGCGAGCCTTATTATTACTGTGAAGCACAAAATGAAAAAATCAAGTCACTACTATTCCAATCTTCTCCTTTGAGTTTAGATGTTTTCTTCCTTTAAACATTAGTTACAAACCACAGACTTTTATATCAGAGCTACACACTGCCATTAGGATGTCATCCAGTGGTTTCTGGGCTGCTGTTTTTCAAGCCTAGGGTTGGGCGTTTGGGTTTTAAAAGTCAGGACTGGCCATATTTGGACATGGGGTAGGAGTCATCGAGAAGGTCTTTGGAAATGGAAATTTTTCTGACTATATAGGACTGGCTTTGTTAGAAAGATTCAGCCCCAGTACACAGGAACTGTAATTAGGATGCTAACTGTGTCAAGCAAAAAACACGTTTTAATGGACACATCTATGGGTGTGTTTTAATACACAAGAATTCTGAAAACGACATGCCCTCAGCAACTTGGCCATCAGAGGAAGTCATATCCTAAATCATACCTGGCTTTATCAAAAAAAATGTAAGGGCTTTGTCCACTGAAAGTGTTTTTTTTTTTTTTTGCAATGACAATCAATGCAGTTCAGCATTTTCAGTATCTCAGAGGCCTAAGTGCCACTTCGCTCTCTGTGTCAGCTTTTTTTTATGTCACTGCGCATACAGCGCAAACAGTAGAAAATAGTTCAACTTTTTCTAAAGCTCCTTGTTCCTGAATGTCTCTGAGACGTAAAACTAATCCTTTCTTAAAACGACCCAAACTCGTCATTACGGGGGCACAATTCTTGTTTCCTTAGCTCTTTCATTGTCTTGTAAAATGTCCTTGAATTAAAGCAATTAGTAAGCATACAGAGCAATTTAAAACACTCTTAATGGTCACCGTCAAGGGAGAGGGGATGTGTGGTGAGAAAACTTGTGTAACTCAATAGTAGGCGCCTGCAGAAGCACTCTGAAAGTAAAGTAGCAGTCCATTACTCTAACAGGTGCATTTTTACTAAAGAGATATCATGCTTTATTTTAGAGGAGGCCCTACATTCATTGGGAAAATGTTCAATAAGATAAAACATCAAGTCAGAAGGAGGATCATTTTCTCTTTTGCTTTTATTTAATCAAAAATCTTTTTTGAGTTTAGATGAGTTTACCCCTGCTGGCTTTAGAACCTGAGGAAATATCACTTATATACTTAAAATTGTCACCTCTTTTTAAAGCCTTAAGCAAACAACACATGTATCAGAGAAACATTTATGCGTCTGATACATTGTAGTCCTCTGTGCAGTAAAGGCTTCAGTCCTGCCCAAATCTAAAAATGAGGACACAGTTTCAGTTGAGTTTATTTTGAACTCTCCTTATCCTGAGAGGTTAATGATGGAGGATTTCACGCCCTCACAGCTGAACTTGGTGAAATCCTTAATGATGGGTTTAGTATTTTGTTTAAAAAAAACAATTTTTATCCACAGCTGAAATCATCACCAACATTTTTTACTCCTAGCTTAGTTTCATTTTCAAAAGACATCAGTGGTCAGGGTTTTGATGTTTTTAAATTAGAGACTTTTATTTGTAAAAAAAATACATTTTTGTGATCTTGCTTGTAGATTTACAAAGTGGCTGAGTGTTATGAACAAGGGTTGTAAATTCAGTCCTAAACATCTGGTTTGGGGATTTTGAGAACACAACTCTTATCCTTTAAATTTGGCTCCAGAAAATCTGCCTGCATGCATCTGTGACCTGCGAATAACAGGAGCTGAGGTCAGTTCAAAGATTTACATGAGGGCCAGATATGAATGGTTTGAAAGCAGATCACATTTTATGACTTTAAACCATGAGATCCATGTTCGGCATGTGGAGACTGCAGCGTGTTGAAGTGTCCCAGTCAGGGGTCAGTGAGTCCACAGAGGTCTCAAAAACAACATCTCCAGAAGCAGCTCACTGCAGCCTTTGTTACTTTTAAAAGAAACACGCTTTCTAAGTGTGTTGTGTTAAGGAGGTTAAAAGTGTGCTTTAAATCTACAGTTGACTGGATAAATGATAAGAAAGGACATCCTTTTTTATATTGCTATCATGGACAGGACATCAAAACAGAAAAACAACCCTATCTAAAAGAACTCAAATCTCATGTTTTAAGACTTTTCTACTTGTGCATCTGTGACACTATTAGGAAGCATTTCCCATCTAACTACTATGGTAACAGTTCAGCAAGTGTTACATCCAGTAGTCTCACTTTAAGGCAGTTCAGTTGTATTTCAAAAAGAAAAAGCATTTTTAAAAAGGTATTCTTTAACCTTTTTTTATAAAGTCAGGGCTCAGTGTAGGTAAGCCATACTTCCATCACATTGGGTTGTACATTTCAGCACCTTTTCACCATGAATGTTAATAAATGACGCATGAAGACCTTGCCCATACACATGCAGAGGGCACACAGTCACTCACTAAAGCCATCCCCAGTCCTTATGTTAGCGAATGCCACCTTTTATCCCGGGAATAAAAGGGCCATTGAGAGCGTGCCGAGCAAAACTCTGACCACAGACTCAAAGTCCTCATGTTGGAGCAAGGCAAGCGAGAGTGAGATATATAAAGCTTCTTACGTCATTACAGTCCCATGTGCTTCTCTTTTCTGAGAGCGTTTCAATTGAGGTGCTGTGCCCAAACACGCCGCCCGTTACATAAATGATGGAGGACGGTGAGAAATGAAACCAGTGAGTGACATTATTATTCTACTGAAGAGACTTTGTGTGATGTGTTTGTGGATCAAACAACAAACAAAAACACTCAATACAAGATCAGAGTGAACTTAACTGATCCCAGTAGGGGAGTCGTGGTACCTCAGGAGCAACATGTGACCACATGAAACAGACTAGGAACAAAACATAGATTAAAGATGGAGTCCTACTCGTTTAGTTTCCCTGCAAATGAAAGTGTGCAAAGGATGAAAACATGACGTGTGAGATGTGTGTTTTGCAAAGGAAGGAAGGAGTTTTATTGGTAAGTGGAGATAAATAACATCCATCACTGCCCCCCTCCTCCACACACACACACACACACACAGGGGACAGTGGGGACGGTGGGAGCTTGAGCGAGCTGATTTCCATACGCAGCCTTCAGAGATGCACTGAGCCGTACCGGGGCCACATGAGGAAGTCTTGGCACTGGCAAATGACATTCAAATTCTGCCCTCAGAATTTGCTTGCCTCCCAGCCAGCACTGGCTTAATATCAACTCTTTCATGTTGGCAATATGCAAAGAGGTGAACCTATCATGCCAAACCTTGCGTGTGCATCCCTTTCGCTCTGATCGCTCGGACTTTGCAGGGAAATGTTTTTAGAACAAAAACAGAGATGTACAGCAGTGAGAGAATAAAATAAGTGATTTACTAGTTATGTGACTGAATGATTAACTTACCAGGAGGATGCAGCGTTTATGTAGCTCCATTCACAAAATCACCATTTTTTTAAATCCTGAGAGCGCCAAAATTGATCTCAGGCACTTTGCAAATATACAGGTCTAGGCTGTACTCTTTATTATATTATTCAAAGAGACCTCAAATGAATCCAACATGAGCAAGGCACTTGGTAACAGCGTCAAGAAAACACCTCAGGCAGAAACCTCGAGCAGAATGGTGAACAGCCGTCAGTGGTTTGAAAGAGAGGATAAGAGACAGACACCAACAAAAAACCACAGACTTATGTTAACAATGCAACAAATAATAATAGAAATATGTCTAATAAATCAGAGTTTGCCTCAGGGAGCTTCCTCTGCCCTCAGACTCCTACTGGTTCAGGTAAAAAAAAAGATTTTGGCAGAGAAAAAAGGAGGAAACCTCAGGAAGGAAAACACCAAGGGCTGATCAGTGGCACAACAGTCTTAGAGTGGGAATTAAATAAATATTGAAACACAGAAGTACTTTAATGCTATGTTCTGTGATACTGCATCAGCTCTCAAATCACCTGTTGGTCTTTACTGACAGTTTTCATTCAAAACTTTTTTTACAGATGAGGGGACATGTTGATTCCTTTCTCTGCACCTCAGAAAAAGTAGTGCTCTGATGTTGGATGATACAGGGACTGGTATGGATTCAAATATTCATCCAACTGTTCTAATTGCATAAAAAAGAAAGTTCCTTTAACCATTTTTTTTAGATGTTTTTAGTGCTATGCTTCATTTCTACATTTGCATAATATAGCATGTCTGCAGTACATACAGCTGTTTATTGAGCGGTAACCTCTGTTTCATGATATTTCATATCACCATGGTGGCTGCGTTACAGTTTGAGTACAGACTTTGTGCTGCGTTGAGGGCCTACATATTGAATTTTCATTTGTACCCACCACTGGTTCCAGCTCATGACGTTGACTAAGGTTATAGAACTAAAGCCACTTAGTTGCACACATCCCTAGTTTTTGCCTTCATGCCCACAGTGCATTGCGGTTTGAAAGCCCTCCCCTCTGCCTCTCCATCCCAACCTAAGCTTCATGAATTCTGATTAGTCATTTAACTGGTGCCGGCTTGTGTTGTTGGCAATGATTAGCCACTCAAGTCAGCTATTTGCTCACTTCCCTAGTTTTTCATAACAAACAACACGTCTCAGTGTTTCTGTCCTGTATCTACCCGCCGCTTTCATACCCACAGTGCATTGCGTTTTGAAAGCCCTGCACTCTGCCTCAGCCGTTCCCTTCTTAAGTTACATCAATTCTCATTTCTTTGGTTTAGGATTGTTTTTCTGTCTTCTGTCTCTGACATTGTTGTTGTAACTCTGGTCAGAGGACATTACATCCTTGCTGTACCTCGTCTTTTTTTCATTCCAGTACAGCACTATCACATCACAATAACAAGACATTACAAAGATTATATGGTGGGTTAAAGTGAGTAAAAACTGTTTAAACTTTTCAGTTCATGGAATTCATGCTGTGCATCTAAACATTGCTTTAATGGAGATCCCAAAATACCAAATAAGACACCAGGAAAAGTCCTCTTTATCCTGCAGCCAGCTCAATCTCTATTAGCAGTCCTGGAGTCTGAAGGTAACATTACTGATAGGTAATCTGGATATGTGACAGGACACTTCAAAGTGTCATCTTTTAGTAAAGCCTGTATTAGGACTGTACATTCTAGGGTTTAACACAAACAGTCGTTTTCTTAGAGATATGTCACCAAAATTACCCAGGGTGCTTTTCTGAAAATCCTCATTTCATTTCCTGTGGAGTTTTTTTTTTTTAATCAAATTTGAACTTGAATGAGTTCAGGCCTCAAGCTGTGGTTCTTTTGTGTAGTTTCTTTTTCTTTCTTTTTCTTTCTTTTTTTTCTTTTACAGCAAACAAGTCTCTGCTTAGTCCCTTTTAAGCAAAAGAACACAATCTGTTTAGCTCTCCTTCATTTTGAACTCAGAGCATGTTTCTCATTTTAACCATGATGTAGATTCATGTTTGCACCGATGAGCTCATGCTGATTCCTGAAACATGGCGCGGTGATGATGACACATTGATAATCTTCTAGGGAAGCACAACAATCATAAAAGGTTTCTCTGTGATCTCTGCCTGCATGTCTTTTATGACTAATTCGTTCCTTCCTGGTATCGTTTACTTTCTCTTTCTGATGATGTAGGTAAAGTGTCAGGCTGAAAAAAAAAGGGCAAAGTTATAAATAACTTCTAATTACCAGACAGGTGCTTTATTATTTCATGCACACGGTCTGTATGAGATTTTGTCCTGCAGGGTGGAAGTGGAAACATGGCACTAACAGATACATATTTATGATTTTTTACACAGTTTTAATCTTCAGAAATCCGTGAATCGGTGCGTTGTCATGTGGATTTAAACGTTCATTTGGAATGGCAAAGATAGAGGATAAAATATAGAATTACTTTTAGTCAAGTGCTGAACTAAAAAATACATTTGCGGTACTCTTCTTGAGGTGAGGTGATTGTACTCCACTCCTGCTCACTGGCTTTAATCATAAAACAAAACTAATCTAACAGAGACATGCAACACTTCTTCTAGTAAAATAAAGCGCTACTTTATTTCCGATCTTATAAACGTTCTGTCACTCAAGCTGTGCTTTGTTCCAGGACCTCTACTCTTTAATCTAGTTAGCTGATTTGTTTTTGCCAACACAGCTTCTACAGATTGGCTCATTTTTGTTCACATATATAATTAATTCGATATAGATATATTAGGTATATAATAAGAAAAAAGGAAAAACCTTGGGCTCAAAGTTTCAGTCAGATTGAATGATAGACTTTTGAGGAGGAGCCTGATCTTTATTTTTTATAAAGCGACACATTCATACAAAAACACACAAATATAAAGTTTTGACATTTAATCATTTATTTATCATGCCGTTAATACTATAACGTCCAATATTCATCATGCCTTGTAAGAATTTGATGAATAAGAAGTAATCACAACAGTCAAGACTTGTGTAGTGTGTGTGTGTCGACCTGCTGGAAGTGTGTGACTGCAGCCAGTGTGAGATTCATTTGCATTTCACCCACATTATAAATCGTTGTGATGTAAACTCCCCACAACGGCCACGAGCATACTCATGAAAAGTTAAGAATAAGACACTGAAAATGTGTTTGAAGCGTCAAAAGGAGTCATACATGTGTTGGACAGTGTGAAAAACTAACAGACTTTACTGAATCTGGAGTAAAACATTCTTTTAAAAGTCTGTTGAAGTCATGTTTTCACACACATGCACTCCTGTACATTTCTAGAATTTGTAGAACATATCAGTCAGACTGCTGCTGAAATCTTCCTGAAATGCTTGTTCACACACCACACAGCAGTAGCCTATCCCTTTGAGACTAGAGGAGGCAGGGTGGCAGGGGTCAGGGGGTGGAGGGGGTCTCAGAGGGCAAAACATGACCTAAAATGAACAACGCTGATGTAACAGAGTCTTATTATTGTTCCTTCATATCAGTGTGTAGCTCAACACATAGAAGCAGTTTCATTTTCCTGAATATTTCCTGTTGTGTTCACACACCCACTGAACACTCACCTCGCCCCACTTCCCTCAGGACGGAGGTACAGAGCACTGAGGGGAGGAGCCTGATCCTTGCGGTTATAGCGGCCCTAAACAAAAGGCCTCTCTGAACAGGCCTATCTCTGTTTGTGTTATACTCTGTTTTTCTGTGTATGAATGTTCTTTGGTGGGACTTGTCTGTTTGGACAGTAACGGTGCTGTGGAAAATAATTTCCCCTTGGGGACAATAAAGTCTAAAGTCTAAAGTCTAAAGTCTGTTCTCAGATCAGGTCACCCTGATTTTCTAGGAGACCTGGCAGGACAACAATTCGGGGTAAAGAAAAACATTCGGCTGTTGGCGTTCTCAGTCATCCTGAAAGTTTCAGGAAGTTTTCAGGAGTATCGTGCGAAAGTGTGAAAGCATCATTCAAAACAACAGGAGGAGCTCTGTCACTATCTCCTCAGTATATAACTTGCATAGGACTGCAGGGACTGCAGGGATCTCAAAGAGTACAATACTGTCGAGGCAAATGTCAATTAAAAGAATTTTTTTAAAAATCTTCGTTTTTTTCTGAACTACAACTACAAAATTAGTTCAATCAATTTGCCTTTTTGTGGAAAGATATTCTTTTTTTTTAAAAACCCTATGATATATGATCTATAACTTATTCTGATTATTTTGTATTTTCTCTTTCACAGGGAGGATCCACCACTCCACCTTCGTTCGTCCAGATGCCAGGTGAGACTCTAAACTTTAAAGAATGGAAAACAACAGAACAGAAAAGAATGGCTTCATTGTCTTTGCACATTGTACAAAGAATTATTTCTTTATATATATATATTTATTTGTATATGCTGTATGAATATTATTGCACATTTAATTTGACTTCATGCAGGACAAATCCGTCAATACACTCCCAAACATTGCACCCAATGAAACTACCACAATTCTTCTTAATAAGCACATGATTGAAATGTGTGTTTTTTGACTCATTTGTCTGCAAACAGAAACGTAAATGTAAGATGTGATGTTGCTCTCTGCAGGGTCCCACATGCTGCCCAGCTACTACGGCATGAGGCGTCCCTTCATGTCAGACTCAGACTTCTGCCCGTCCACCAAGCAGTTCTCCCCGGACGTCTACTCGTCCGCGCTGGGGGGGAAACCTCTGGGCTGCGAGCCCTCCTCCATGAGCAGCTACTCCTCCCTCATCGACAGCTACTACCCCGAGACCTTCGGGGACTACCGCAGTGCCGCCGCCTTCTCCAGCTCCGGGGGGTCCTTCCTGCCCTCGTCTGCCCTCTCCTCTCTGCTGCCTCCGTTCGGTGGAGAGTCTTCACATTTATTTCTGGTATGATGGGGGTCTTTGACAGAGATGACTGAGGCGGGGATGGAGATTTGTAATCATTTATAGGGATTAAGTGAACAACATGAACTCTGAAAACCACATTTTGAAGTTGCTTTATTTTAATTGTTGGGTTGCAGGGCTGTTTCCTTTAATGAATAGCACATCAGAGGAGAGACAGGAAATATTTGGAGGGTTAGGATGCAGCAAAAGGCCGAGGTCTGATTGGAGCCCACAGAACCCACAGCCTTATGGCCTCTGGGATGAGGACTATAGAATAGAATAAATCTTTATTGTCAATAGGAGGTGGTCATTTCCAGATACAGACAATAACACAGACATCATAGCAGCAACATTTAAACAGTTCACATCGTGGTTCAGATCTCATCAGTCATGTTGTAAGATTAAGGATGTGTGCTGCACTTGGGATAAATGACTTCTTAAATTCAGGTTTTAGTTGCCAGAGGAATTCTATAGCGCCTCTCAGAGCTCAGTGGCTCAAACTGACAGACAAGAGGATTAGCTAGGATACTCCTCGCCTTCATCCTGGTCCCATCAGTAAATAGTTCAGACAGAGGTTAATGTGGTTTCACTAGGGCCAAGTGAAACCACTCTGTTACAGGAGATACAGACATATTATCAAAGTATACATTTATGTATTAACATGATGAAAATGTGATCATCACATTTTTAAGATGATGATGTTTGGACTTAATGTCACAATTGTTAAGTCCACATGGCTGGAATATAATCAAGCTTCCAGTATTAAAGCAAGATAAAAAGATCAAAATAAAAAAGGGTCAAAGGGTAAAGACTTTCTTCTTCTTCTGCATTTAGAGTTGCTGAGAATAATCTATAAAAAAAACAACCTCCTCTTTCTTTCATTGATTGTTTTTGACATTTATAATTAATTATTTTACTTTATTCTTCTCACTTTGACTTTATCTTTTAAAATACAAAAACAACAAATCTCCCTCTTCTTACTGTTTCCTTTCCTCACACCTGGCCCTATTACTCATCCACTATCTCCTCAATGTAACTCAACCATATTCCCTCCCATGTGAAAAGAGTCCCTGCAGGAGAAATGAGTGTTGCGGATGAAGTGAAACACACACAGTCCTCACATATTCAAATCAGGGTTAGACGTGAGAGTCCGTCAGCCTTCTGTCAGAACACTGCTCCCACTGTTTGTGACTATACGTCCACTGCAGCTCTGCAGGAAAGACTGTCAAAAGAAACCCTTAAGAGGAAGTTTTATACCAAGTTTTTAGAAATGTTTTTGTTTATATAAAATGTCTTTAACTGTGATTTACCTGATGTGATTAATGTGACAGATCCATCAAGCTTAAGATAAACTTTGGAATACATATTTTGTGCAGAATGAGGGTTAAAACAAAAGGTCTAAAACACAGACTTTATTTAGTTGATATAGCACCTTGATTTGTGTGCTTCTGTTTGAGGCTTCATGTTTCCAACTGGCCGGGTCCATCTTGTTTTATGGAGCCAGAAGTGACAACATTTACAAGGAGTTTGATATGCATTACTCCATCTCTATCCTGGTCGTCTGGTAGCTGTTAGTATCCACAGCTAGCCCTGCATAAATGATCGCCTGCTCTATGGTCTTATTAAGCATGAATGGTGTCATAATAATGTTCAGAATACCATCATGGGATGTTGAAGAAAGTTATGCAGAAGAGATTGACGCCATGGAGTTATTATGAAGATTACAGAGGAAATGAACCAAGTGAGAATAGGCCTTCAGACTCCTTTCTTCTGTTTTAAACCCAGTAGAGTCGCCCCCTGCTGGTCATAAGAAAGAATGCCAGTATAAGGCACCTCTTACTTTGCCAACAAGGGCATCCAACCGTCAAAACAAAAGAACATTACAAAATGAGCTTTCTGACTCAATCAGAAAGAATGTGTGCCGCTTTTATTCAGTCGACTAAATGAATGGATGATTGATCTTCTCCTCTCCCTGCCTCAGAGAGACTCGTGGGAGCAGTCGGTTCCAGAGCCCGTATCCCAGATGGAGTCTCTGTGTCCTGACAGCCTGGCCTCCGTCAGTGTCCCGCCCTCCATGCCCAGCCCTGACCCCCCGGGAGTCCCTCCCAGTACCGCTCCCCTAGCCGAGGCTCCTCCCTGGTCTCCAGCAGCCAGCCCTACACCCTGCACCCTCTGGATGACAACCACTACCACCCGCTGACCACCAGCAGCTCCTACCCGCTCCCGTCCACCTCCTTCTCCTGCCCCCCTTACATGAGCAGCTCCGTCAGCGACCTGGTGTCCAAGATGGTGACGGAGGAGGCCGCGGACAGCCTCCCCGCTAACGGCGAGGGTCACCCCTGCTGGGCCAAAGAGGACGGCGTGAGCTCCTGGTCGCCCTACGAGATCAGGAGGGCTTACTGAGGCAGAGAGCGGAGATTTCACAGACAATTAAAGCATGAACTTGACAGAACAGCTGTAAAGCTTGTTTGATAAGACAATGTCAGACCCTTTACCAAAGAGAAAATTAACATGTTGATATGTTTGGACTATGTTGGCCGAGCTGCCTGTTTTACATCCTTTTCTGTCTCCTTTCTGTGTGTAATATATGTGCTTGTGTTTTACGTTAATGACACAGCGTGACAAGCATGGACTGAAAAACAACTCCTTTGGAAAAAAAGATTAAGTGATGTAGTTTGGTAAACCTAAAAGGGCCGCCACTTCTTGATGTATCATATAAAGACTTCAGAGAATCATCCTGAGGTAGAGGATGAACTGCAAACAGATTTTAGTCGACGATATCAAAGGTGTATCTTGCAATGTGAATGGCTGACAGTTTTCTTGTCCAAAGTGACATATATATATATATTGGACGACACTAGACTATACATTAAAATACTAAGTTAAAGTTATTTCTGTCCTCCACAAAAGAGTTTGCAGTTGGATGTTATGTGGCTCCTTCAAACGGAGATAAGCCCATATAAAGGTGACACTAAGTTTGGTGCAGAAACACAAGCATTACACCTGATGCTTTTTCCCCTCAGCATCGTTTGTGGAAATGAATGACTGACTTTATGGTTAGAAGATCATTTCAGAGAAACAATCCAATTCATTACAAATATTTTAGTTCGCATTTTGTCAAAAACACAACATCTCCACGATGAATTGGTGCCATTGCATCTTGCTTTCCACTGGTCTGTGTGTTTAGTCTCTACATGCTATTGTCTATCTTCTGCCTGAGCCCGTAAGAAAGTGACATCTAAAGTTAGAGTGGAAAGGGTTTAGATTTCAGAGTAGTTACTTCAAATGTACACGTCGATAATGTAGAATGATTTACATTTTGTGTTTCAGTGAAAATAAACAGACAAGCAGAATTTCAAAATTGTGTGTATCTGATCATTAGTGTGTGTGTGTGTGTGGGGGGGGGGGGGGGGGGTTATATACAGTAGAATAGAATAGAATAGATGTTTGTTGCCATTTGCACAGGTACAGGACAGTACAGGTACCTTGGAATTCTTGTGCGTTTCTCCCTGAGTCAGCTTCTACAAAAAAAAGTTAAAATTATATATAAAATAGAATAGCATTGTAAGAAAAAAAGAGTAGAAAGAGTAGAAAAGTACAAAGAAAGTTGTAGTAACAGCTAAGTGATTTTTAAAAAAATTGTACAGAATTTACAGAAGTATATTAGCAAGCAACAACTCGGACCCCAAAGTAGTCTGCAATCACCCAATATATTTATAGAGGGAAGGTGTAGCTGCTACATCATGATAAAAAAACACAAAACAAATCAAAACAACAGAAATTTGCTAAAAATGAAAAAGATTTGCAGCTTGAAGTGAAAATGCACATGCAGTGACAGAACATCAGTGCAATGCAAAAAAGCCATTTATCAATCAATCAATCTTTTTTGTCCAGTGCCAATTCACAACATGTTATCTGGAGACACTACACAAAAGATCTTATTCTTTATTATTTTATGTTACAAAGACCCAACAGCAATCCATCATTATCTGCAGAACCTGTGTTTGGGATTACAGGAAGAGCGATCGAACGAGACAAATAAAACAGATTTACAGCTACAATGCCAGTAATAATAGTAAAGGTATGTGTGTTATAAGCAGTGACAGCAAAGTATGACCAGCGACTGATCGGGCAAATATTGACATTAAAAACTGATCATGTTTACTTTAGCAGTCGGAGTTGAGCAGCTCTGAGATTCACAATGAAAAGTTATAATAATAATTATGATAGTGACATGATGTCATGATGACATCACACTTCTTCTCATGATTACTGTCATAACATTTTTGCATCATATCATTGCTTAGATATTTACATGAAATAACTGAGTAGATATGGAAATTCATTATTCTTAAATAAATGGTTTATAAAATCAAACATCTTACACGAAGCATCAAGATCAAGATGAACTTTATTGTCGAAGTGAGAAATTTGTCTTGGACCCTTCACCCATGCTGAGACCACAAAAAGACAACATTCAATTATCATTCACACTCAACATAGAACATTAGATATTTATAAATTACATTAGAATAACTCTACAAAGATTAATAACATCAGGTTCTTAAAATGCTTATGAATCCTCACAGGAAAAATAGATACAGAACATATGGGCTTGAATCTTTTTTTTCTTTTACACCCAAAAGGGATTTCATCCTTTAGGTCCCTCGAGTGTTTTTAATAAAATAACTGACAACAAGATAAGATAAGAATATGTCTATAGTTAGAGCACTCACTCACACATTGATACAAAAAGCAGATTTAACATCGAAATGTAATTAAAGTCTGAAAACAGGATATTAGTCTCTCTATTTTCAAATGAAAGTTTATGTTCTTTGTTGAAAGGTATTAATAATAAAAACAATGATAATAAATTTCTGCATAAGGCGCTTTCAATCCAAGTGCTGTACATGGATTCAAGATTTTAAAAAATAAAACAGCAATGACAATTGATTTTGTTAATTTTTTAAAACAATTTACACCCATTTGAAACACACAGGACATCATTTCTACTTTTTTATTATTGAGATCTCAGAGGGTGATCATGGTACATTTGGGGGCATTATTCTAAGAGGTGGTAATGTCCAGCCCCTCTCATGTATTATCAATATTATACAGTCTAGTTCAGGAACAGCAAAACGACAATCTCAGTTATACTTAGTCATCATGAAGACCTTCATATGAGGTTGTTCGTATCAAAAACAAACACCGTAACACTCACGTTGTACAGGCATGTCAGCTGGGAAGAAGTTCTTCAATTTGGCCACTAGATGAAGCTGCTGCCTCACTGCGCCAACGTAATGCGGCAAAGGAGAGAAGGGAGAAGATGTTAGACTGCAGAGCGCAGGGAAGAGGGATGTAGAAGTTTTTCATGTGGGTCATGTACTGAGGAGAGGAGTTTATTAAAAGTGTTTCAGATGTTTAAAGAAAGATCTTAAAGGCTGAGGGGAAAGACACAAACATTATGTGCGCTTTTTAAAAAAAAGTGGTCCATCTATCATTTTCTTTCTAAACGGATGAATTACTTTTTTCAAACTACTGCATCTTATGATCATAATATATAATAATGGAAAGATAATAACACTAAAATGTCATAATATTAGTCTGGAAATGACGCTGATAATATTATACCGGGTTTCATTAAATAATGTTTGTCCAGTTTGGGAGAATGCAGATCTGCAGATGTTTGCAGCTGGCTTAAAAGGACATAAAATAGGACAGTTTTACATTTCCTCTATCATTTTTATAAAGTCTTTTGTATATCATGTTCGCCCAACATCTTTCTTTTAGTAAAAAAAAAGTATTTCAGCTGTTATTACAGGCTGATCTGCTATTTAATATTACTGCTGTCTGAAGTACAATCATAGTTTGCATTATCTGAATTAAAACTAATATAAGTTGTGTTTTAAAAATTGTAACGAAGTTTAACAGACTATGGGGGATCGGGTGGACGTGATTTGGTGCTAAATTAAAAAGGATTTTAACACACCGAATTTTTCCTAAGGAATAAATAGCCTAAGTATTGTGGAATAAACTTTATTTAAAAAATGTAAATATATAAAATAAACTCTGTTAAATATAAAGATTTGAAAGAAAAGAAAGCCACTAAGTGTCTCCCCGCATCCCTCAGCAGGTGAGAGCGCTCAGAGCACCTTGCAGGCCTGCGCTTCCAAAGATGGCTGCTGCCCTTTGCCACGCCCACTTATTCTCCAATTTTATGCGTTTTTGTCTAAAATAAAGTTTATATTTGTGTTTAGATGCAACATCGGTGTTTTCAATGCTCGCAATAATCATGTGGGCGCAGATAAAAGTTGAATTTCGTTTTAAAGTTGCGCTAAGAGCATCCAAGGCTGCAGTGCCTAATGAGGGGGTGTGATGCTCTGATATTGGAAAAGGAGGAAAAAATTAATAAAAGTATGATTTGTTTTCGGTCAAAGTGTAAAATTATAATATATTGTATTAAAGTGGGGCTTATGTGATGTCCATGCGTGGTGAGTTTCATCCAAAAATCGATACAACTCGGTTGCCTCTGAATATTCAAATTGAAAGTAACGCGCAATCAAAGTATTGTCAAATCATTGAGTTCTAGGGGTTTTAAATAGTAGGCATGGAGGCAGAAAATCTCAAACTAATATGTCCCCAGCTATATTACTATATTGTTGTATGCTCTGACTCTGCTGTAAGACATTTGTGTTGAGATTTTTGGAGACTTTTGCACAAATTTCGTTCTTGGCCATATTGCTGAGGCAGAAAAGGACATTGTTGAGTCCCACAGGTCTTTCTCCAGGGAGCCTCTCTTCATCTCAGCCATCATGTCTGGTGAGTTTCATGTCGGTTTTTCGTTTGGATAATCATTTTGTTGCGTTTTGTTTCTGTTAAAAAAAGAGAAAAGAGGAAAAAGAGGGAAAAGTTTAGTGGCACAGTTACAATCATAACATAGACACGTGCAAAATGAGCAAGTTTTCCTTCAGATTATCTTTTTGTTACAGATTTAAATAATATATAAAATGACCAACGGTAAAAAAAAATATATATATATATATAAAAAACTTTATGTTCAATAAATCGGTGTTATTTAATACCACCTGTTTGCTACTGTGGATCAGAGGTGTCAATGTTTTCCATTCAAACAGCCCACAGAGCTTTACCGACTTTAATTGAGTTATTGTTTGTTACATTCCTATGACCATGGTGTGTTTGTAAAAGCCAGAACAGTATTTAAAGATCACCATTTAAAGTCACATTTTATTTTAGATTACAACTAGAAGCGTCTGTGCGCGGGCTGCTTGTGCGTAACAGGTCGTTATGAGGAACCGCGTTGGAGTGGGATGTGTCTGCTGCGTGATTTTGGCCCACTATTTGTCACATTTAAGACAAATCATGAAGTAGCATTTAGCCGTATGAATATTTATCAGATGATGTTTCGCAGCATAGGCTTATTCTCCTTATCAAATCGGCTCTTTCCCCAAACGCCTCACCACTCCTGGGTGCATTAAATTACGCCTTTAGGCCTGATTTACCTGCACCTATACGAAGCGTTCTTTCTGGGCTACTAAATCAGGCTTCATTATCAGGAAAAATACGGCCAATTATTGTCCGTGTAAAAGCCACAGCATTTAACTATTACATATCCAATGATGGGGGCAGGGGTGATTTGAATAAAGTTACAGAGATTGGAGTAACTAGAGCGTATATTTGAATTATAAGAGGCTGGAATTGTTGTTGAACTTTTCCACAAAATAACAACAATCTGCTCAAACTGATTGTTTAAAATGATCGGAAGCAGGTAATGCGGAGCTGGAATGCACAAAGTAAATAGATCGTGTTTTCGTGCATCGGTATAACACTGCTTTGCCGATTAAAACTTCACTTTGTTGCCGAATATTAGGCACATATATTGCTCTGAAGATTGATTCCAACGCGTTTGCAGTTTACAGTTTAAAGTTTGAGCTACCGATCGTTACACAGACTCCTCTGAGCTCTTTGTTTCATGCGTTTTACGCAGTTGCCAAGAGTACTTTTATCCAACTTTACCACTCGATCAAACACGCGTTCTAACCTTAAGATCACTACGAGTTTCTTATGTCGTACGTCAATGCACGTTATTCTGCATTCATGATTAGAAATATGTACTTACTGTGGCGTATTTTGTGCCGCTTTCCTTTGTTCCTGGTTTGGGCGGGGTGGATCGGGAACGCGGATAACACATACAGGCTGCAGAGAAGAGAGTCTGCCGACGGCGTAATAGGACACGCAGAGCCGTGTTGTGCCGTAAAGTGGGAGCCCTTTCCGGGAGCATTAGAGGGCTGCGGGGCCGGGACAATGAGGCAAAAAATAGCCGGAGCCACAGCGCGCAATGAGCGCTCAAAATGCACTTTTTACGCAGCGCAGATTTTGACAAAACTTTGAATAAAGAGACTGACACACAGTTCAAACTGCAGTTATTTGTTTATTATAATATCCACATGACTTACAAAACTGTTTCTACAACGAAACGTAATTCATCATGTAGTCTATTATGCAAGGGAAATGTGGAAACATGAATGTGGAAGAAAATTATATTTTAGGTTATTGTGGAAAATTAATGTTTTATTTTAACATGTAAGGACAGAAAACACATGGTGGGTTGTAACTGACTGGGGAGGGAAGGTTGTGGTTGGGAAAGGGGGGGGGGGGGTCAGCAGGGTTGGGCAAGGTAGAGCAAGATTGAGTGTGAGCTTTTGTCCTCCCTAATGGAGGTTGTTCAATAAACATGAGTGACACGCTGATATCTTCATACAGATAAGCCCAGGGTGTATCAGGGCGTCCGCGTGAAGACCACAGTCAAAGAGCTGCTGCAGAGGCATCGAGCCCGAGAGGCCAACAGCAAGAAAGTTAAAACGGTAACCACTCCTCCCCATCTCTCTCGCTCTCTCTCTCTCTCTCTCTCTCTCTCTCTCTCTCTTTTGTTGTGTATTCACTGTCACTATACCTTTGCCCCTGATGAAGGAGAGACAAGTAATAAACTGTTAATGTCTGACTAGGCTATGATCAAATCTACGTTGAGCCATTAAGCACGCACATACACAAACACACACACACACACACACCACACTCCGCCACTTACAGTGAATAAAACACAAAGCTAGGAGTTATGACAAAATATCTAATATATATATATATATATATATATATATATATATACATAATATAGAAACTCGTCCACGCTTTTGTTTCCTCCGGGCTCGACTACTGCAATGCACTTCTCATCGGAGCCTTCTCCTCTGCTGCCCTATGGGCCCTTCTAAGGGACCCTTTCCCTTAGACCACTGCTTTTAGATCTTATTTTATGCTTAGGTTCTTAACTCTGATTTTACCTTTCACTATTGCTACTGTTTTTATGGGTTTATTGAATTTGTAGCACTTTTTGTTTAAATGTAAAGTGCGTTATAAATAAAATGTATTGTTATTATTATTTTATTATTATTATTTTATTATTATTATTATTATTATTATTATTATTATTATTATTATTAATAATAATAATCTGCTTTCGTTCCACCCTTCTTCTCCCTCCTTTCGTCCCGATGAACAGACATCCCAGGCTTGCTTTGATCTCCCGGATCTATGCCCGTCCCCTTTTCCAAGTAAGTTTAACATCCAAGTCCAGTATTTAGGATTAAATGAACGATTTTAAAAGTAAAGATCTGCTGCAGACCTTGAAACCAAACGGAAAGCAGTTGATAGGCTACACCTAGATGAATACAGTTAGACAGTTTAAGTCAATATAATCCAGTTGTTTAGGAAACTGTTTAGAAATATCTAGTGTCCTCAAACTCAATCAGAAACTGTGGTTGGATTAATCCAAAAGAATCCAAGTCGAACACGATCTGCTTGATGACAGACAGCAGCCTTCCCTGCCCCCCTAAAACCAGGAACAAAAATACTCACATGAACTCTTCAGTCATGACCAGTTTACTCAGCAAAGTCTACCTAGAATATATTTCTAGTCTACTGACCGCCCCATAGCAAATGTGCAGGGTTCCTTCTTATAAACTAAGCCTACATTCAAATGTGTTGGCTGATGGTGTCATGACATCACTCGGAACTTATAGGCTCTATTTAAATGTCTTCCTGTGATCTGTATAATATGCAGATACGACACTGCACTCTGTTTGAATGCGCTCTGGAAGATATTTTTCTCCATTCAAATCTATTTTGTATTTGGACGGACTAGGAAAAGAAGTTATTCAAACTTTTATTTTATAAAACAACTTATAAGGATCTTCTTTTTTTTTCATTTTTAAACCGTGTTATTTATCACAGGAATGAAACAATGGGACGCGAGTTTCCCTTTATTCGTATCTTTGCAGGTATTTTAAAATCAAATGTTCATGTTCCTCTCCGTCAGATCGCTATGTGGACCCTCCCCCTGCCGTTCCGCTTGCGGCCGACTCGAACAGCTGTGCTGCACGATCCATCCAGCTGCGCACCGCCTCGTTCCCTTTCCCTGACAGCTCCTGCAACATCCAGATGCAAGAAAGCACATTTGACGACATCCAGCAGCAGCTTGGAGACATGATGTTGCCCAGCAACGGATTCAATGTCAGCAACAACAACCACAGCAGCACCGTCGGTGGCGGCGGCTGCTCCGCTTCCCTGCCTCCCCTGTCCACCCTGCCGCTGCCCTGGTGCCATGGACTCTCCTCTGATGCGGACTACTATGGCCAGGAGATGGTAGGTTTCACCCACTGAGACAAAGTAAACCTTATCTAAAAAAAACAGAAGTGTTGTTGGATAAAGCTTAAATGCCTGGGTGACAGGAGCCTAATTAAGAGCAAAAGTGTAGTGCAAAGAAAATACCCAGGTTGTTGACTGAAACATATGCAGAATAGGACAGTTACAATTATAAATAATAATAATAATGGCTTTATTGATATAGCACCTTTAAAAACATATGTTTACAAAGGGCTTTGACAGTTAAAGAAAATGCTTACACTCAGGACAACAGAGCAGACATCGACAGTCAGGCCAAACAGAGAGTACACAAATAATAGAAATGCAAATTACAGGAATAAGAAAGATACAACAGGCAGGACTCAAAGGGCAGTTAAAGCTACAAGGTGAAACAATTTAGAAAAAATAAAAAGTAATAGAGGAGAGAAGTGTAAATCATTACAAGAAGGAGTAGCAACGGATAAAAGCAAGAGAGCAGTAAACTGAATACAGGAAAGGATCCATTAGAAGATTAAGAGCAATGAAATGAATAAAGGAAGGCATTCAGGTTCAGATTCTTTATTGTCCCACAAGGGGACAATTGTTTTAAATCAAGACAACGTTGAAGAATCAGACAACACAACAAAATATAAAACAATATAAAACATCGTGATAAAATCAGCCAAAATAGGAACTCCTACCAAGTAAAGTGCAAAGTGGAGGTGTGCAAATATGCAGATGAAGTGCAAAAAGAGCAGGGGATAGATTGATAAAAGCATTTAAAAGGTGAAATCACATAAAGGCAAGTCTAAGGTGCATTTTTAGAAGTGATTTAAAAGATGTCACTGTGAATTTACAAGTTTCTGAATTTTATGGTCCTACAGCTACGAATGACTTCTAACCCCCCAGGAAATATATCATTTAACAGTTTCTGAAAGAGGTTTGGCATGCCTGATTCCGTTTTAGCAGAGACATGTATTTACAGACATGTTGCTTTAATTAAGTGTGTGTGTGTGTGTGTGTGTGTGTGTGTGTGTGTGTGTGTGTGTGTGTGTGTGTGTGTGTGTGTGTGTGTGTGTGTGTGTATTAGAAAAGCCTGGCCTGCTAGTATGTTAAGAGTAGCTCATAATGTCAGGGTTGTTTTTTCACTTTTTAATACATTAATCAAATGTTCCAGCAGACCAGTGTGAATTCCTTGAACCATCATATCCTCCTCTTTCCTCCTCAGGCTCCCTGCTCCTCCCCGGAGTACCTGAAGCACTGCAACCCCATGGATCCAAACAGCTACTCGCCACAGGACTCCTTCTCCTCCTCCTCCTCCTCCTGTTACGACTCGCCCACGAGGATGGAGTCCAGCTACCACGGCGGCTTCGCCTCAGAGCACTACCACTATCAGAACTGCAACCTCCAGGACTGTTACTGCCTGCCCCACTGCTGGCCCAGTCAGCAGGAGAGCTTCTCTGCCCCTGAGTATGTGCCTCACTACAACCCGACAGACTATCCCTACGCCTGTCCTGCCGAGGAGAGCTACTTAAGGAGGGATCTGCAGATGAGCTCGGAAATGTGTTACAATGTTCTATGATGAGACCTGCAGCAGTATTGCTTTTTTTGTCTCTGGACTGTAAATATGAATCCCTTCAGTAAGCTTGATGGTCTGCTTTGCATTTCAATGTGTGTGTGTGTGTGTGTGTGTGTGTGTGTGTGTGTGTGTGTGTGTGTGTGTGTGTGTGTGTGTGTGTGTGTGTGTGTGTGTGTGTGTGTGTGTGTGTGTGTGTGTGTGTATGCTCTGACTGACAGTTCCCTTCGTGGAATATGATGATTGAATGCATGGCGAAAAAAATAACGATATTTTTGTATGAACTACTTTTTTAGTACTCAGATTTATTTTCTTACATTTCTTACACAAATTGTTTCTGTTCTAAATAAATATGTGCTTAATTTACCACCATGCTTTAGATTCATTGATGTCTATGAAATGCAAACACAGACGAGTAAATATTAATAATGTGTTAGTGTCAGTTACTGGTCATCTGCTCTTGCAGGTTCACAGTTTACTCCCCAAACGAGCCGCTTCACTTATCTTCCTTGTTGCTTCACGCCAGGTTTCTCAAGTTCTTTCTGTCCATCTATCACAGAAACTGAAAAATGTGGGAGGCAGGTTACAACACACAACACAGGCTGATAACATGTCAGGGCTGAACTGTAATGCAATACTTTGCACTGAAGTGAAGGAATCCTAATAGATTTGACTAAACCTGCAGGGAGAAAGGTACACGCAAGTGCAGAGGAATTTGAAATCATTTCGACATGATGAACCGAGCACCTTTAATATGCAATTATTCTACATAAAAACTGAGGAAACTTTCTTTTCCCTCCATCAAAAAGTTTCCAAAACTACAACTTTACAAGATTCCCAAAGCAGCAGATAAAAACATGTAAATCTTTGCTTCATAGTTTCTGTGATGTCCACATGTCTGCCTGGCTCTTTGAAACATTTGACCTTAATCAGTCTCAGCTGTCATCCTGTGACTGTGAACGTTCTTTGGACTTAACACAATAAGATAACAAAAAGTAAAATAGATTAACGGTACACAGAGAAGCCATATTGCTTTCAGGCCAAGCTGAAGAATTCCCTTAAAGACAGAAAAAGACAAAATGTGAAAAAGATTCAATAGGATTGAATACGCAGCATGATGTGCTGTAAATAAAGTTCTTTGAAAGATTTGAAAAATATGGAAGCTTAAGATTGATCATGTTCAGAGAATTAGAGAATTTGTTAAACTATAACTAATAATATACTCAACGCATAACATACTGAATAAAACTCCAGAGGTTGGCAGATGGCTTGCTGGAAATCTTTAAGCTGGGATGGTTTCTTTTTGCAAAATTTGGGAGATTCAAAAGTCTATTATTGTTTAACATAAATCCCACACACCACATCTAGCTGTTTATTCTTCCACAGCACTAAAATCAGTGTATTATACTGAAGATTCAGATGATCAGAAAAGACGTTTAAAACATCCTGCAGGTCTTATTTTCTGTAAATGATCACATTTATCCTGGTTTTATATGCAAATGAGGGTCCAAGTTGTGTTTTGTTTTCTAAAAATGCCAACCTGTTTTAGGGGGAAAACCAAGAAAATACCTGAATGATTGATTCTTTGCAGGGGACGCTAAAAACAACAACTTTGAAATCATTACCTGACCTGTTAAGTTTTCAGGATTAGGCTTTCCTCCTTTAACTCTTCAATAAGTGCTAGTCTATATCTTTCATTGACATTATCATTTTCAGCTTTATGTATAACATTTCTCCATTTGTAAAGTTCATAACATAGACCCTATAAAACATGGACGTAGACTCAGTGACATCAGCCAATAGTGACTAAAGGGTTATTTTGAAGCCCATTGATGGCAGTCTTCATATTGGAAATACAGGCTCAGACTAACTTTAAATCAATCTAGTAACAGGCAAAGAGGTGGACATGTCAACATGACTTCTCATAGGAACCCCCAGCTATGATTCACTTCCTGCGCTCCTGTGTCCTCCTGCTTCAGAGATAATGAGTGTACCACATAGAGAACCCTGATTATTCATATCCCTGTATATACTTAATAAATACTGTATCCTGGTTTCTGATTCCAGTATCTTATTTGTGCAGGCGGCTTTGATGTTTATTTTTTACAACTCAAACTGTGGCAATTTTGAAATCTGAGAAAAATAGCATTATTAGCATTATTAGCAATGCGAACTTAACCAACGGACAAATCTAAGTTTCTTTGATGCTCCTGAAGTAAGTGTTTGTTTTATACGTCACCTGGCTGGGACTATCCCTTCCAAGGTCACAAACTGGGCCAAGGCGTATGCTACACTATCCTGTTCCTTTCTGGTTACTCCAGGTATAATAATCTGGTTTATCAAATTCGAGTAACGGCTTATCTCGGTTTCTGAAATCGTAATGATATGATGTTTACTTGCTTAAACACAAAAAAAAAGATACTTAAAAACCAGGATACTTAAGTCCATGTTAAGACACTCAGGGTGCAGCCAGAGGACAACACAGAAACCACACTTTCCTACCCCTCCTCTCTTCAGCAGGGTGGCTACAGTCTGCATCTGTTAATCAACTACACAACAAACATGAGACAAGTCGGCATGAGGGGGGAGGACCAGTGCTTCTGCAAAAGGAGCTTCACAAATCACATTATAGGCCAGTCAATATATTTTCAATATGCTTTATTGGATTAATACAGTAACAGTATACTGCCATAGCATCAATTATGAATTAGATTACAATGTAAATATAAGACATAAGACAACAAAACAAAGAAAAAACAAAGTTATTCATTGTCAGGTATCAATCTGCTCTCTCATGCCAGTTGTGACACAGTTCTCAGTAAACCTGAGATCTAATTGAAGACTTTAAGGAAGTACACTAATGTAGTTATTGTATTTAATCACTTCACACATTTGAGATTCTGTATAGTCTTCTGTATAATTGTCTCTATTTGAAGAAAAGCATAGTCAGTGTTTGTGCTTGAAAGAGGCAACATCAGATGCTTATCACCTGTCGAGGTTGACCTGGGGTGTGAAAACCTGATCCTTATCCGGGCTGAAACTTAAACATCTCTGTCTAAACCTGACCAAGTGTGTATTTCTGTCGTCTCATACCTGACTTAAGCCTTTTAAACTGCCAACTGCAACAGCTTCTTTTAACATGCCAGTGATCCTGACCCAAGGCTGAACGTCACAGCTGTAATCCCCTGCGAGGCGCACACGGTACACTGCTGCAGACAGAGACGAGGTTTCGAGCTCTCAGGCGTTTAAGTGAAAGGACAAGGGGGACTGGGGGGGTGGGGGTCTTGACTGACACCAGCAGAGTCTGAGGAGATCAAGATGTAAACCTGATCAGTCTGATGCTCCTCATGCTGATCTCTAATCGTAAACAAGCCTCACACCCCTCCATTTACCTGCAGGGTCATCCAGCAGCATTGATAAGAGTGGTGGAACAAGGCTGAACAAGAGGGGATTTGTGTGTGTGTGTGTGTGTGTGTGTGTGTGTGTGTGTGGTGTGTGTGTGTGTGTGTGTGAGTGTGTGTGTTGACATGCTTAATCCCTTCAGGTGTTTGATAAGTCTCTAAAAGCCTCTGATGAGAAAGCAAGAATTGGTGGCTCAGCCTGGCGTGAAGTTTATTCCCGTTTTATCATAAGTTCATGCGTCTCCATCACACTGTTATCTCAGAGCTGGGGGCTAACATACAAAGAATTAGCAAATGACTCTAATCTGTTTGAAACAAATCAAAGGGATTCCTCAAATTTGGGCGGTTTAAATATAAATTCTTGTTCTGGGAACAGAGCTGTGGTTTTACATACTAGTACATCTGAAAATCCATTGTTTTCCCCTGCGGTAGATTCATGTTGGAGGGAAGTTTGAAACCTTAGAGAGGTGAAACTGACCAAAAGAAATGCAAAATATTTTGTTTTATTAAAAAAATTATGTTGAGGATTGACTGAAACGTCTGCAACAAATTACTTCAGTACTGTATTCTAATAAGAACGACCTTAATTCCATTCTGGGAACAGAGCTGTCTGAGTTTGACATGAATCAGGAAATCCATTGTTTTTCACCTTGATGAATGTTGGAGGGAGACATTTGAAAGCTTATTGAACTTTCTTTTTCTTTTCTTTTTTTTATCTTGGCACTGTGGAAAATTTAAACAGAGGCTGTTTCTACCTTCTGTTTCCAACCTGGTGGAGCCACAATCAGTCAATAAAAATGACCGAATATAAATGTCGTCTTCCTGAAGTACTCACTTCATTTCATCGCACATACTTTGGTTTCATTTCAGTCTATTGCATAACCAGCACTAGACTAATCAGGGAAGCCTTAATGTGCTGTTCATCAGTGTGAGTGAAGCAATTTTGATTTCCAGGTTCCAATTGGTTCAGACTGGAAAGAGTTAAAGTCCAACAATACTGCAAAGGGGAAGACACTCAGATCAATATATTGTGCAAAAGTGCAAAAGTGCAAAAACTGCAGTTCCTCAAATGTCCACTTGAGGCTGTATGCAAAAACAAAGGAATTCCCATTGGGCCTCATACTAAAATGTAAATGGTTAAAGTAGAAATAATCTGCAAAAAAAGGGAGTACACTCAACGGCAATGACATTTTTCAGGTGCACAATTACAAAAAGGCTAAAAAGAGACAGAACAGAACTCACAAGTATGATGCTGCTTTACCCAGATAACAAAACACTTTGAAGGACATTTAGTGTGCTGATCTCTTTAAAGCAGAAACAAATCTGTTTTTTTTTTGTTTTTTTACAACTCATCTGTTTTGGTTTTATTGAGCTGGAAAGTTATTTATAAATTTGCATAATTAGGGGAATGTAGCTGTCTGCCAGGGCGCTTACAGCCAGCCTCACCTACATTTGCATGTTACTAGATTTATAATGTTACAATCATAGCGATAGAATTTCTGACATCGTTCTTCACAAATCAATGAGAGACATCACTGCGACTTTGTTCATGTTTTATACAGACTATTTGAAAATACTTGTTAATATAAAAAAATACTGTTAATGCAAAACAATAATATTCTCATTTTATGAGTTTACTTCTAATTTTAATTTATTACATCAGCTAACATTTCCTGTATGGACTCTAGTCAATAAATTGATGTAGTATTATGCATTCATGCATTTTTGTGCTTGAGGGTGTGGCTTACATTGATTGACAGGTGAAGCAATGCGTTAACCATCCACTCGTGGTCACTTCTCGTGGCCACAAAAAAAAACAGACAGTGATGTCCAAAATGCCAAACTTAAGTCTTGACTGTGAACAAGTAAACAGCACTCGTTTTAAATCACAGCTGGTATCTACAGAAGAGTCAGGTGTATGGTGGTACTGAAAGTTAGCCAGTATCTGTTTTTATTGTGAGGTTTC